AATGATTGTAGATAAAGTTACAGAAATTATGTCTTTCGACCAGACTAACTGGCTTGCTTCATATATTGCAAAAAATACCAAGTTGCGCCAAAAAGCTAAGAATACCTTTGAAAAGAATTTCTTTAAGCTTATGAACAATTCAGTATATGGCAAGACTATGGAAAATGTTCGTAAGTATTAGGATGTCAAGCTTATGGCTATAAATAATGAGAGGAATGAGAAGAATTCCTTAATAAAGTTCGTAAGCCCACTTTCAAATATGGACGCCAGCTTGGAGATACGTTAGTAGGAGCATATATGGGAAAGGCTAGTGTAACTCTCAACAAGCCCATCATAGTTAGTGCATCAGTATTAGGTCTTAGCAAGCTTTTGATGTATCGCTTCTGGTATGACTATGTTAAGGACAAATATGGGGATAAAGTCAAGCTTAGCTATATAGATACAGACTCTTTTATATTCATAACTGAAACAGAAGATATCTATAAAGATATGGAAGAAAGATCAGACCTTTTCGACTTTAATGATTTGAAGACTATTGGGCTTTTCAAAGATGAGTGCCCTAATGAAAAGATGATTATAGAATCAATTTATATCTGAGCAAAGGCTTACCACAATGTCTTAGCTAATAAGACCACGAAGTCTACACATAAGGAGTTAGTAAGAGGGGTATAAATTAAATGGCAATAGATACATATTTCTCATCATTAGGCGGGTCTTTACTAGATGATCCTATTCCAGAAAATAAGATATTCGATCCTTTGACCCAAGTATATCGGGATTGCCTCTTTGGAAAGAAAGTATTCTATGCTAAGAATATTAGTTTTCGAGCAAAAGATCACATAATATTCCTTATCGAGACAGAGAAAAAAGCTCTTTGCCTAATAAATACTAAGCGCTGGATCTTATCTAATGGAATAACCACTTTATCATATAGGCATTGGCGTATTATGATTTATAAGAATATGGTCAAAGATGATATTTCCCATGAAGAAGCCAAAAAAAGAGCTATAAGGGCCAAGCTCCCAGAGAAATATCAAAATGAATGTGTATCTTACATATCTAGCTCACCCACATAAGCTAGATAGTAATGAGTAGTTGGATTGCATACATTATTATATTATTTTTTTTCCTGATGCGATAAATATTCAATTGTAGAAAATATAATAAAAATAGCATACGTAGAATGTAAAGTTTGGCATTTTCAGGAAGATGATGATATGGATGATATGAATCTAAAAAGTCGTCATAAAGCAATGAAAGTAGGGTATAAATATTACACAGTCAAAGCATTGATTGATACAGCTTCTAGTGCAAATAAAATTAGTAAAAGCCTAGCCGATAAGCTTGAAAGATGATATGGAAAGCATTATAAAAATAAAGAGTGAAAAACTCATTAGGCACCATAGATTGCTTAGATATATCTTTCTGATACAAAGAAAAAGATAGACTGGTCTCTGGTAGTGATGAAGTTTTTAATGATTTTGAGGTTGTTACGAAGCCAAGAAAAGTTGATCTCATATTAGGAATACCATAGTTATGGATACATAGAGTTGGACAAGTCCGGTCTGGTCTGGTCTTGATCCTAAAAGACCGGTCTTTTATTTTAAAACGAACTGGACCAGTTTTTATTATAGTCCGAAAACTAGTCTAAAAACTGGTTTATGAATCGGTCCCAATTTTAAGAACCCGGTCTTTTATTTAAATTAGTCTTTATAGAAAAATAATTAATGCTAATAAAGTTCGTTATTTTATTGTATAAATTTTAAAATTTTATTATTTAATAATTCTCAAATTATGTTATTATGATTACTAATAACTAATTTAATTTTAATTACATATTTTATTTCGTATTCAAGATTGTAAATATAAACTTGCTCTAGCTATTTCTGAATCCAGCCTATTTCTCTACGATGTAATAGTTTGACCCGCAATAGAAAATGCTTGTTCAAAAGCAACAATTGTTGCTTGTACAAAAGATAATCACGCGCAATAATGCTTAAAATTGGATATTCATTTTTTTGAGCATACCACCACAAAAGAGGATCAACTTTATCTTCTAATAGTGCAGATAAATACCGCGTTAATTCATATAATATTAAAGATTGTTCACTAGCTGTTGAATTATTATTAGGTACATTGACGGGAAGATTATTATTTTTTTGACGAAGATGACAAAAATAGTTATGTATATCAATTATATTATTACCAATAATATTTGTTGCTGTTTCTTTTATAGGCAATTTGCAATATGAAACTAATTCTAAAATTGATTTTTTTGCATCTTCATTTTCTTGTTCATTTTTAAAGGCGGATAGCTTATTATGAGGATCCAAAATAGCAGAAATTTGTGAGGTTTGATCTAGTATTGGCCAATACTGTTCCAATTTATGATAAATACTATTAGCAATTATTGGTTGAGTAAATGTTGAATCACTAAAATGAGTTTTCAAGTTTTCCAAGATACTTAAAAAGCAAAATCTAATATCACCATGCGTAGGATAAGTTGAAGCAGATAAAAGATTTGTTGCATGTTCAATTGGTTCTAATAAAGTCATTATATCCTTTGTTTTTTTTTAAAAAAAATTAATTTAAAATATTAAAAAAAATTAAAAAAAATTAAAAGCAATAATATTTATAAATAAAAAAAACTTACATTGATACTTTGAATTTCACTATCTGAAGGATAACGATTTTGAACATTTCGATTATCAGCTTGAAGTATTTGCAATGCGGGTTGTAAATAATTGAATTTTTTTAACATATAGTATGTTGAATTCCAACGGGTAGTACAATCAATTTCTGGAGCCAGATAATCAATATTTTTTATGGTACATAAAATCTTTAAAGAAGTAATGGTAGGTGATGATGATCATAAATATATCATTAAACTTCATACTTTTATTACTGCAGTATCGATTAATTGAAGTCCTTTTTGTACAGCAAGATTTAAAATATGTGCCGCACATCGATAGTGTGAAAAATGAAGATTATCAAATCTCTCTTCTAATTTATTGGCTATAATCCTCCTACAAACTACCATTGCTGATGCATTGTCTGTTGTTAAAGCCAAAGTTTTTTCATTAAGCTGATATTCATATAAAATTTGTATAATAGCTTTGGACATATTTGCTCCAGTATGTTGTACTAATATTGGAATAATATCAAGTAAAAAATTACTTAATTTCCAATCTTTATTAACATAATGAATAGTTAGACTAAGAAAGGCAACATTATTTTGAGCCGTTCACATATCTGCTGTAAAAGATACTATTCCTGGAATTTGTTCAATTACAACTTTTACTTTAAGTTTTTGTTCTTCAAATCTTAACATTATTTGATCACATACAATATGCCGATTATGGAATCTATATCGTGGATCAAAAGTTGAAATTATTTCACGCCATTCTTTTTCTTCTACTACATTAAATGATTGTAAATCACAAATTAACCAATTTTGTACAGCTTTATCATGACGTTCCTATTCAATTTAAGGATGTGGGTCATTCCGATATTTATGTAAAGTTCTTTGCTTTTTTGGTACATTAATTGAATGTGAATTTAAATGACGTTTTAAAGTAGAAACGCCGGTCCCTTTTGAAAATTCTTGTTTGCATTTTTTGCAAACACGTTTTTCACTTTTTCCTAGTAAATTATCATCAAAAAATTTTCATACAGCACTAGAACGAGCTTTTTTTCTGAAATTGAAACGTAATGTTGAACCTGCTGTAGAACCATCTAAGTCAATTTCACCATCATCATCTAAGTCAACTTCACCATCATCATCTAAGTCAACTTCGCCATCAGCTTCACCATCAGCTTCACCATCGACTTCATCATCATTATCATTACTATCTACATCGCTATCTTCCTCATCGCCTTTATCAGACATTATGTAAAATTAATTGGTAGTTTTTTTTTAACTAATATGAGGTTGTTATTGAATAGTAAAAGTAAAATAATTTTCAACCATGATAATTAAACATTACAATATTTTCGTTTAAATAAAAAAAAAAGATTATCATCGTTGTATTACATATCGCAAATGATTGATAAACATTTTTAGTTAATTCGTTTAATTTGTGTTAGTCAATCACATGCATATTAAAGTCAAAAATCAATTTAAACTATTATAATTTTATTTAAACTATTTTACTTTATTTTTGATAATAAAGGAATGTTATATGCATTATATGTATTTAGAATTAAAAAAATAAAATTATTTTTATTAGGACTGGTTCAGACTGGTCCTAAAATCTGAGACTGCGGACTAATAAGACCGGTTTAAAAACTGGTTTAAAAAACTGGTTTTCCTAGGACCGATCTAACCCTATGGATATATGAAGCAAAAATAGATATGTAGAAAAAAGGGATAACAATATATGATGATTTCGTGTTATTTTGCAAGTATCCAAAAAATAATGAATATTATTATTCAGAAACAGATGAATCTGATTCATCTGAGTTTGAAGTAGAGATAGTTGCATCTGAGTGCAGTTCATTCGAAGGAATAAAAGTCAAATGCTATAAACCAGCCAAGTATAATGCTAATCTTATATGTATAAAAATATTAACCGGAAGCTGATCCTATGCAATTGGACGAGCCTAGACATAATGTTCATCCCTTGTAGATCGATTGTAACTTAATAAATAATGCACAGTAATATCGCTCCTTTGATGCTAAGTGCAAAAGGTATGGCTAAAAAAAAAATCGAGAAATAATCGATGCAAGACTGAAGGTAAGTTTACTACTAACCCCATGCAGTACTTGCTATTAATAATATTTTTTTGATTAAAGATATAGGCACATATAGTAAAGTATAGGATATAATATCAATTTGCACAATATGGAAAGTTTAGATGAAATTATAGAAAATACAAATAAAAATATTAAAAAGGTGTTTCTAGCAGGGGTTGCACCTGAATTTCAACAAGAAGCCTATATAATTAGTCTTAAATTAACATTGGATAGATTGGCACAGGAGCTAGAGTTTGCGCAAAAAGATGATTGTTCTTCTAAGTCAAGCAGTCCAGAGCAGTAATCTTTAACTCAGAAGAATTTACTGAGTCATGTACAGCGCCTTCGGCGGTTACTGATCTTGATCTACTATTTAATCCAAAGAAGGGACCATGCACATCTATTGTTCGAAAAAAGTAATCATGTATATTAAAATAAATATAATGTATCGCAAGCATAGTTCTGAACTTTGTATTTATTTTTGCGTAGTAAGTCACGTAGTGAGATCATATCTTTTTTTGAATCACGTGGGTGGTTTAAACGGTCATGTGGATCGATCACCTGGCCAAAGGCGCTAAGGTAAAATGTGTAAAAAATATTCTTGCCAAAAGAATAGGGGTTATGCGACGTAAGATTCGTATACATTGTTTTTTTTTATTCTGATAGATGATCCTAATTTTTCCTGGAATAATCTCCTTGAAATGTCGAAGCGAGGCCTAAGGAAAGAAATGTAAGTATCGAATTCTTCTTGTATTGCAAGTTCGAGAGACTCATCCAACTAACTATTACCTTATATTAAGGAAGGAAAAAATTCTTCTTGGAATCGGATTGCTGATTTCTTAGTTGTGCTACATAACATAAAGATAAGGTGAGATATAGTCTTTTTTATCTGCTTCGTGTTTAAATTCAAATAATACAAACTAATCAATATTATACTTATCTTTTCTCCGCCATTTCTGATCCTGATTTTTTCGTGATGCTGGTGATTCCAAGTCTGTGGGTATATTTTCACTAAAGCTGAAACAAACAGGAAATATCTATGATCCTAAATTTATGATTCACAACCCTAGTTTCACACATCTGATGATAGAAGATGATCTTGGAAATAAAAAAAGCTAGGAAACCGATTGAGGAAAAAAAATTCTTTTCAGGATACTTTCTTGACATGGGATAATAGACGATTTTTCTCCGTAATTTCCGATCGTGATGCTGGCGATTCCAAGTCTGTGGGTATATCTTTACTAAAACTGAAGCAACCAGGATTCCAAGACCTTAGACAAGAAGAGGTAAGTTTTTAGTTGAACCCGCTTAAATTAAATGAAAGCTCAAGCTAATTACCTTTACATCCATCACATCCATCATATCCATCATTAATCCCATTAGCCGAATGATTGAGCATTTCCTACAAAAATAAAACAAGGTATGTCCTACTATTGTTTGATTTAATTTTGAAAAATGGCATCGATGCTTTACACATGATACTTATCATTTTTTCTAGTATTTTATATGTACTAACCTTGATCCTTGATATTCGCTGAGAAATATGATTCTGAATCTGATTCAACTAGGAGCATTTCACTCCCGGATTTGAGTTGTGAGAAAGGCTTAAATAATCTTCATTTTAATAGGATCATTCAGATCGTGATTCGAATATTTGCAGCAAGGCCTAGGTGTAGTGATGGAGTCAATGAAGGACAGGGAGGGGTATCATTCAAGCGAAGTAAAATTATTTCTGAATTCCAGCATTTTTTCTCATAAATTTGAAAAAAGGAAAACCGTATCCTAAGAATATGATCGGGGAAATTTGTCAATTTTTTTTCCTAAAGATCTTTGATCGAAGGAGGGTTTTTCTTTCCGAAATTTTTTATTTCAATATTTCGCAAATAAAAGAATTTTAACACTGCATATGATCTCTTAACCAGTAATAACTTATCCCTATATGCTACATTCTGCTGATCGTTCAAGAGCAATGCACTAATGCAGGTTATTTTTTTTTGAAAATTAGGATCAACAAATTATTGGATATTAAGACTTTCATATTTTGCAACGATCGTAGCATTAACTGCGGAGAATTGTTTTTTATAAAAATACTGAATATGATAGTGGTGTCTCGCATATGTTTTGTATTAGATCATGTCTTTAAACAGTCTTAAGAATCTTGCTTATAATATCTTAAAATATCTCGAGGATGAATCAGTTAGAGACATGGAAGTTCCAGAGCTGGGACCATGTTCAGAGTGTAATAACGAGATTCTAATGCTTTCTATCAAGGTGTTCACAGTACTTAGCTGTGACCATGTTTTTCATAGAGAATGTATTGAGAAAATTTTTTTACTTACTCAACAAAACAACTGCTCTATCGATAATTGTATCGTGATCGTTAAGCCTGTGATCACCGAATGGAGATTTTCTGTATCATCTCAATCAAGTACTTCATCAATAGTTAGGAGAATGAATAATCAACTTCAGATGGAATCATCAGTAATCCAAGAAGAGAAGAGGCCAGTTCAAGAAATGGAAGTGGATAAAGAGGTCAATGAAGAAGAATTAGAAATCCAACCTGATAATCAAAACTTTACACTCACTAGCAGTAAAAATGAACTAGCGAAAATGCTGAGTCACAAGCTCTTACATCGCGTTCATCCATCAAAAAACTGCCTAATAAGAAGGCTAAGAAATTGATTAGAAGAGAAGATTCACCCATCTTAAAAAAGTTAATCAAGGAATTATCCGCTCCTATTTCACAGCAAATTTCTTCCGATAGTACTATTTCTTTGCAAACATTTCCCGAAATGGATATTAACTCAGTTAATTTTCATGAATTAAATAACAGGATCATCAAAGCTGAAGGCAATAATCAAAAAACTGTTTTATAACTGATCCATAGCTATTACTATTTTGGGAAAGGGTATAGGTTATGGTTTGATCATTATAAAAAAACGTATAGTGATGATACATCCAATTCTCTAGTTAATGATAAAATTCATGAGTACTTTCCAGACCAAGATAAAACTTCAGAGGCTAATCTTAGAAAAAGAAAGGAAAAGGCAATAAAGATCTTTAAACTTTTTAATAGAGTTAGAGGGGTAGATAAGATAAATGTGAACATATGTTCACAGCTACCGAAATTTTTCCAGATTTCAAATAAGCCAAATTTACTTATGTGTGATCGCCTATTCACACTTGCCGAAGTTTTTCCATTTTAATATTTTCTAGACATGTGTGGTTATCATTTCACAGTAAAATAATGAAAAAATAATAAAGTTTATAGTGCGAGTTATTTTTAACTAATGTATGTTGTATATGGGTAGTGTGACGTTACTTTATTGCAAGACTCACCAGAAAGATTTATAATTAGCTGATAGATCCTACTTCTATTGGTTGAAAGTGCGAAGGGTCTTCATTCCTGATATGATATACATCATGTAAAGCGTCTGGCTAATCCCCTGTTAATCACAAGAGATCTACAAACTGAAAGTAACGGGAGAGCATTGGAGACTAATAAGGTGTTAGAAAGGAGTCAGGTATACCATAATATAAAGATGAACATATTGTGTATATTGTCTCAGATCTAATTTAACCAAATCACAAAGGTTATAAATATGCTTCCACCCTGTAGTTAATCGAATAAAAATGAATCTGATATTTTATTATAATATACTTGCTACAAACTGCTATAAATCACTATAAACCATAAAAAACAGAGAAATTGCTAAAAATACTATTTATTATTCGTAATCATATATAATCATCAAATATGCCTAGTGTAATGGTTAAGATCATATTAGATAAGATTTATAATAAAACCATATCCAAACCTATTAATCTCCGTCCCAGATATGATATGGAATATATTTTTAACTATCGACCTCAAACTGATAACTATCGGTATGAAAAAGTGGTTAAAATAGAAAAATAATACGATCATTTATCTATTATTAGACCTCATGAAACACCTCAGCAATAGGCTATTCGTATAAAGGCTCCTTTACAAGAATTACTTTCTAAGTGAAAATATAGTTTATACCATGTGTACTGTCTTTTTGGTTTATTTGGGCAAGTAGAATCCAAAACATACTATATTAATGGTGAGCTATATAAAGATCACTTCCAATATCGTAGACCTAGTATCCATAAAAATCAAATAGCTATTT